TTTAAAACCATTACCCCTTGTCTTGTCACTGCTGGCCCTACTAAAAAGATTTTCCCCATCTTTCCTATAGGCCCCCTTTAGGTACTGAAAGGCTGCAATCAGGTCTCCCCGCAGCCTTCTCTTCTCCAGGCTGAACAAGCCCAACTCCCTCAGCCTGTCCTCATAGGAGAGGTGCTCCAGCCCCCGGATCATTTTTGTGGCCCTTTTTGTGTTCTTTTTCTCCTCTCTACATTCCTTGCTCCCGCAAAGTAATTAACTGTAGCTCTGGTTCTTGCTGCATATTCTTAAGACCTCTTTCCCAGGACTCTTTCGTAAGTCAGTATATTTGCTTTTTAAGAGAAGAGCACAGCTGACACGATGAACTGGAGAACTGCCTAGGTAACCGAGACAGGATATGAAAAAAAGATACTGAATGGGTCGGAAAGTTGACATACTGCCACAGGAAACAGAGGAAAACAGATGCGGAAATTCAGTAACACCCACCGAGACGAACCACGAGACCCTGACGGATTTCCTTGCTAACAGCCAAGTGCTGGGAAGATCAGGCTGCTCTGCCACTCGCTCCCACTGCCAGGGAGCTGGCAGGCAAGGATAAGGAGACTGCCTTTTCCAAGCCCTTCCTAATGGATTCCAAACCGTTAACCAGTGCTCAGTTAAGGCCACAGTAAGTGGTCTGAAAACAGGCCACAGACGACAGCCGAGTTAAAAATTAGGTAATTAAGGTAACTGATTATTCTGGGAGAAATGGAGAGGGCCGATAGCTATCACAGGTTTTCTGCACCAACGGATGACTGCTACACATTCTTCCATGCTTCCTCTCTTCAGGCTATTGATATTGTCCACAGCACAGCGCAAACTTAAGGTGTGGATAATTCAAAGATTTTAAATTAAAAAAATTAATCATTTAGTTGTAATAATACACAATCTATTCACTACATGATGGCATGCGGTGAATGATCAGCTTTGACTGTGAGGCTGCAGAAACACAAGAAAGGTGCTCTAGTTACGCCACCTGATCCTTCCTTTCTCTTTAACACTCTACCAAAATCAATTCAGCTATCAGCAGCCTTTCTGCTCACTCTTCATTGTGGATTAATGCAACCCATAATGCAATCTGCAAAAGAGAGTTTGCCCTTCAGCCTCCCTCCCATGCATTAGATACCAGTGTAAAAGATATTCTACCACAGAGAGTAGAAGCTTGGGAGATTTATCAAGAGCCTCTTCCCTATCATCTAAATGCTTGGACTTGGACCCACAGGGAGGGAAAAATCAGGCAAGGTTAGTTTGCATGAACATGCCCTTTAGTAGCCTCCTCAGGCCCAAAGCTTGCTAAGACAAACCACAAATCAGCAGAGCTTTTCCTACTTTGGTCAAACTCTAAACCAGGCAGGGTGGGCCCAGGACAGTAACAGCCACTCTCACACAGTACAACAGTAATTAGGGCAATCAATCAGGATTCGCCCCCCTTGGGCTTAGCTCCTGTTCCTGAAGGGGCTCAACGCACTGAGTGCATTGGTCACCAGGCTGAAGAGCCTTCGTTAGGGACCGAGGCTGAGGAACGTCCGACTTGTGGGTCCCAGTCCCACGAGGGCTTTATAGGGATTCCGGAAGCAAACCTGCAGTGACCTAGGAACTTCTCCTCTTGACAGATTGCACATCTACAAACTTTAGGTGCCTAACGGACAAAGAGAATGGCAACCTTTGAAGATAATGCTTTTGGATTTAAATGCATGAATCCTCTGCAGATTTGCATTCCAGAGTATAAATGCACGCTGAATGAAGACAAAGTGGGGGGCAAGGGTCCCATCAGTTAGCTGCAATATAATAAGGCAGAACACCTATGATATAGCTGTATTAATAACTCAGTTATCTGCAGAAATATATTAATATTTTGCTCTAAAAAGTATAATCAAGACAAGATGCTCTGCCAACAAAAGAGCGGCTTTGCATTGCAGCTCAATATAGCACGCATTTTAACTAATGATTAGCAAGTCAGGCAGGTTTTGCAAGGGCATAAAAAAATCTGCTATTTGCAGGAACAAAATACAAGTATGCTCCTCTGATTCCAAAATTAAAAAGACCAGTGAATATATACAGTATTACAGAACGATGCATCAACACCCAAATTAAGATCTGACTTTACCAACAGGAAACATATCAAGTCTGAGTTTCATTTCTTTCCCTGAAGCCAATGATCAAGGAGGGTGTCTGTTCATAACAGCTATTTATGATAGTTACTGTGAAAGGATTTCTATGAAATCACTTGCTTCAGACCAACGTTGAATCAGGTTAAAAAAAGAATAGGATGTTTCTGACAAAGCCCAATATAAATTAAAACCCCTTTCCTTGTATTACACTTTCAGAAAAGCACTTCCAGAATTTTATTGGACAATCAAAGTAAAATTCAGCCTTGGACTGCTGAACAACTACTGGAAAATGAAAACTGGCATTAAGTTAAGACCATTAAGAGCTATATGATATGTCACTGTATCTCCATGGTTCTCCATTAAGATCAACTTTAAGAATTAAAATGAATTAGTCTAATGGAGAGTAAGGGAAGACAGATGCAAGCTAAAACACAGCAACACGTATACTGATTTGATGTCTCTAATCCTCCATTCTTTCAGTATCAGTTTTTAAAGAATTAGGTACTTTATCGTTCACTTTTCAGAAGCCCGTGGCATTTCCTTAGCGCACAGACTTATTAAAACTCAGTGGCACATCCACATCATTAAAACATGCTAGTATTGAAATGGCAGTGTTGTGAGAAATTTTGAGAGAATTTGATACAATAACAACAACCCCCCCTGCTGATTCAGTGGTTGTATTTCCTTCAACACACTGCTGCTTTGTGGAAAAAAGTTCCTTGCTGTGCAAGCCCTAAGTCTACCCACATTTTATTTAGAGATAGTGCTTGATAAAGAGTATTATTACCGTTGGCTCCTCACCACCTGTGACAGTTGAAGAACGAGCTCTCCTAGATGGACCACTCTGCTGTTAAATGATAATTAATGTTACAGGTAAGTATATTTAGTGATGAAGGTCACAAATTACTGTCACACTTTTAGGAGTAAGGAATCACAGACACTCAGGTTTATTAAAAGGGAGCAATTAGATGGAAAGAATGTTTAAGATAATAGCAAAAAGCCTGAGTCATCAATCACTGATAACCACGTCAGAATCTTGTACAAAAGGCACCGAGGGAACTAATTTCAAGAGTTCAGTGTTGCTAATGATAATAAGAAGAACACTACATGTAACATGATCTTATTATTTTTTTCCCCCAAAACAAATTTTGCATGTTCTGCCCATAAAGATGGTATTTAAAGCCAAAATTCTGGTCATCAATGAGTGCACAGAAGAAGTCAGATTTAAGAGATGGAACTGCACCTTGGAATTTTCAGCAAGGATTACGACAGTCAAGAACAACACTGTGTTTAGAAAGAAAGCTTGTATTTAGTTGCTAGAAGATAAATTATCATTAGCTTAGTAAGGATTAAATATGGTTTAAATCAGGTAACATCCTTTTTTTAGAGCAATGCTTTCAGTTCTGCTGTTTCGAACATGTGCTGATGAAATGAGCGCTCTGCAATAAGAAAGGGACAGACAGACCACCAGTCCCAGTCTGACTACACCAGTTAGAGAAACCCAGGCCCCATAAAGTGAGATTAAATAAAGAAGCTGAACACTCCTGGAACAGGCTGCGTTAGGAGAGAACTTTGTCTAGTCCAGAGAGAGAAGCCAGTTAAGGTGTAACTGTACTGGAAACCACTGTTGTTTACCCAGAGGAGAAAGCAGAGAGACAGGCAACACTTCAGAAGCAGTTCTTTGAACAACAGCTATTACACGCGCCTGTAAGCAGCAAATGTGGGTATGCTAACAATTTCTAGCACATGAAAACATTAAACAAAACCACTCTGGTTATTGTAAATGTCTGCCCAATAGCAACAGAAAGAACAAGCAAAGGAGGGGCATCAGCTTTAATAACAAACTTATTGATAGACTCTATTTACTCAGTATTTCCATAAAAAAAGATATACAAATTTGCTATCTGTAGATTTGTATATCACATATTTCTAATGTAGATTCGTATGTCATATACTTCTAATGTAGATTCATATATCATATTTCTAATAAAAATTGGAAAAAATCATGGAAGAAAAGTATAATTTTTTAAAAAATATTATTTTGACAATCTGAACAGTTTTACTCAAAAGCATATCTTGCACAATCCTCTTTTAAGTAGTCTCTCTATAGCTCAGCACCTTTGCAATCCTCATACTTGGTTTGTAGGACAAAATATGTAGAACTTTCTGTCAATCAGATCAAAGGTGTGCATGGTTATGATGTGAATCTTTTCTTAAAAACCACCTTTGTATCTTTTCCTGTTTGAAGAATCTTAATTTAATAAAATTGCAGAAGCTGCTGCTTACCTAAATCGCTCAGATTAAAAAAATACTGCAGATGCAATCCTGTCCAGTTCTATTGTACACGGACTATCACAAAAAGGCTCCTTTTAGCTACAACTAGGTAAAACACCAGTTTTCTTCAATGTTATACAGATTTATATATTCCAAGTAAAATCAATTTACGGAATGCAAAAATATACCTGACAGCAGAGTCCGGTGGCTGCTACAGTTCCAAGCGTAGATGGTGCCACTGCCCTCTCCTGCCCCAGCTGAAAGCGCCCCTTGGGGATTTTCTCTCTGCACTGACTATACATCTACAGTTTAGTAAACTAAAATTCTGTGCTAGATAACTAAAGTTAGTGTTACTATGCTCTTAGCCTCAAAACATTGTTCTCCCTCATGAATGTCCTCATTTTAGTTGCTGACCATGATGACATTAATTTGGTATCCCTTCCCATTTGGGGTAGTTATATGCCCACACTGGTTACTGACCTGTATCTGACTAGAACTGACCTAAGACAAGACATTATTCACAAGCAAAGCGTGTTGAAGCAAAGAGAAAGGAACAGAAGTTAGCTTTGGTTTACCAAGGATAATTGAGACTGCTCAGCAACTGTGTCGGTTACACTGCAAGATCTTAATCTTGAAGACGGATCTCTTTGCTGGAAACAAAAAAAAAAGAAAGATGTCTTTAAGTTAAGGTGTCTTAAAAAATCGTCTTTTATTCAATAATTCTACTTTTCTCCCATTTAATCCAACCCCCTAAAAATAATATTTATGTTGCAGAGTCTTTAGTTTTAATCCTTCTACAGAAACATGGCAAGCAATGAAAAATCAGATTCCCAGCATTCCATCCTGGACTGTTTCAGATTCACTGAGAAAAGAAAGGTACTTGGGTACACATCTTATACTCCTCTTTAGCACCCAGGTGACCATGTTTTATTGACCTAACCGCAGAGAAGAGGATAGGCCACCTGGGAAAACAGGCGGGAAAACTAACAGCCGTGGAATCAGCAGTAAAGGGGAAGATTAACTGAAGAGGTAACGGGATGCAAACATCCCACGGAACTTTTGAGAAACTATTTTCAAGCATCTTTGGAAGACAATTTAGAGAACCTGGGGGGGAACGTGAGCGGTATGAAGAAAATGTAAAACTGTAACGCTTCTGGCTGAACACTGGCAGTGCAGTCCCCGGAAAATGGACAGGCTAGAGCTAACAACGTCCTACGTACGGCTTTCTGCACCAGCTCACCCCTCTATTCGTTACTTGCACAGGGGCACGAGAGGATGCCAAGCCCAGGCAGGGGATGGTTACATGGTTCCACGACATCCTCAGCCTGTGGCTGGGAAAGCAGCAAGCTCTGCAGAACTTCCACTGGGATTACAGCCACAGTGGGAGCCTTGCTGAGATCGGCTGTTGGCATATTAAGGCATTTCCCAATTTCCATCTTAGTGCACCATGCTTATCGTACTCTTCAATAACAACATTGAGACCAGCTTTAAAGTTTACTGTTTAACAAATGGCAGAGAACTGCTCAGAAGTTTGCTGGCTGGAATTAATCCAGAAATTCCATACAAACCCAAACTAACTGCTAGAGACAGGTCTCTATATTGTAACAATCATTAAGGCACCCATAAATATAATGCAAATGATAACAAAAGGGCATTAGAACATACCCCATTACTAGGCAGATTACTTACATTTTACAGATACAAAACTCTCTGTAACAAAATCTCCTGGAAACAATAGCATCTACTTCCATTTTACCAGGTAGTGGCACATACAAGTTCTCTGTTGACAGTGTCCCTTCATATGTATTAAAAAAGGGCTCATTCATTTTGCTAAAGGACAAATGTCAACGCAAAAGAATTCTGATATAAAAAAAAAGATGTGATTTTTTTTTTTCACTAGTATAACAAAAACAGCAGCAGAATGCAGCAGTACCATGCCAGGTCTAAATACTGACTCCAGGAATTCTGGTTTGAACTTGAGGATCAGGTGAATTGCTATCAATCTTTTTTGCAAAGGTCAAAAAGAAAGGGCAACTCTTTGGTTAAAAATCCTCTGTCCCACACACTTTCGTAAGTGATGGGAAATCTTAACATAAAAGCAGGCAAATTTGTCCAGCAAGGAAAAAAATTGTAAGAGGGATGGAAAAAAATCTGAGCAATTAAGCTAAGAACATTGTTTCTCAGACAAAAATGAAGCAGGTGACACTTTTCTTACAACCAGACATGGCAATTAAAACTGTAGCTGTAACACAGCTCTTCAGGGAGCGAATGCTTCACCTTGGGTTTCATTACTTTGTGGTGGAATTCACAGGTGGTGTGCATTACTGACAGAAATTAGGCATAAAAAAATAAATCCAAAATCAAATACTATGGATGAGACCTCAAGGTCTTAAAAATTTATTTACTTAAAAATTTACAATATTTCTTTTTTAAAAAATCTAGTCTTGATTTTCCCCTTTGCCTCTAGTTTTTGAACTTCCCAAGACACATCCTTCATGATCATGAATTGGAAACAAAAAAGCCATGTCTGCTTGATACTAAAATGTAATGCCTCACAAACCTGCGAGTTTTATCAAAAATAAGGTAATAAATCACAGAGGTGTCAAGGACTGAATTCCATTGCATATAGGACAGGCTGAGATTATGAAGGGACAGCAACTGAGAAGTGACGAGGATCAATAATTACAACCTCCACTTGCTACCACATTGGTTTTGGGACTCACAGCCACAGAGGCTTTTTCACTTCCCAAAATTACAAGACAGGCCTCCAAAGATAATTTCAGCCTTTACTTCTTGGTAACAAGATGTTTGCTATCCAATTAACAAACGTTTTGGAAGGAACTGATGTGCCACGCTAATATTCTTTATATTTAAGAAGGAACTACCGTTCTGCCCACATCAGTTAGCAACCGTTGCCCTGCAGAATTAATTCCTGGTCTACAAAGCGTAGTCCAACATAAGAAACACGTCAGTATTACAGTAATTTTGAAATATCCCCATAGCTGGTACCAAGACATCTAGAAGGCTTTAGGCATGGCATCAGCAATCATTTTTGTTACTCATGAGAAATCCCATATAACGAAGAAATACACAAATACTGTAGTTGTTGGGGCTGGTGACAAAGCAAGCCATGACCAGAGGGTTTCAGCTGGAAGGGACCTACGAGGATCCCCTAGTCCAACCACCTGGTCCCTTCAGGACTGACCAGTGTTCAATACAATACAGTATTTATACAGCATTCGATAAAATCGATCAGCATCTAAATACCGTTTCACTTCAAAGGCATTTTCTCACACAGCTCTTCCGTGTGGTTTGATTCAGGTTATAAGTTCCACATACAGAAACAGCCTCAGGTAATTCTTAAACTTATTATTTTGTATAATTGATACCTCATCTTTAATCGAAGAGTTACTAGCATTACCCTTTTCTGGATATTAATGGTATGAGTATGAATGCGCTAATAAACAAACAAATGACCTAGCCTATTTATAACCACTCACGTGGGCACCCTGACATACCACTGAAAGATAACGAAGCAACACCATGAAGCAAACTACTTGAGAGACATATCAGAAACTCCAACACTTATTTGAAAACACCAGTCCTAAGAGTTAAGAGTCCTTCTGTTAGAAGACCAGTGTTTAAAAAAAAAAATAGAAAAAGAGAGATGCAATTACACCTTGCTTCTATGTTATGCTAAAGATTAACGTGGAAGGATTTGTCTGACAAACGTATTGACCAGCAAGCCTGAAGTGTTTTCTGGCATTACACAGATAAATGAGGAGAGTGACAAAATACTTTAACACACATACAATCACTCCTCGACTCGGCTGGCAGCTTAGCTGTGTTGTAGATTAACTGTGTGCGGGTGTAGAGACAGTGAAGCTGTCTCTGTGCAAAACAATCAAAGGTCAGGCAGGAGGTACCAGCGCAGGCACACTGCTGGGCAAAAGCACCTGTAAGGGCTTCTGGTTTCAGCCCACAACCTGCAGATCTGAGCCAGCTTTGTAACGCCTCCTTAGAGCTGGTGGGTTTGGGAAAATGCCTGGATCCAAGCTTCCTCCACGCAAAGTCGTGAAGCTGATCTCACAAGCCTCCAGGAACCTGGATCAAGAGGAAACGTCAGGTGGACGTACGTGAGCACGTGGATTATAGCTTGTGTGTGGCTGGAAGTGCCAAACTTTTCCTGCCTACCTGGCTCAATCCAAATCAATCTCTTGGATGTCTCTGTGCTGCGCTTGCCAGCCTCCAAACTGGGAGGATTTATTAGCCCAGGGTAGTAAGCACTGTTCATTCACGTGGAACCAGCTCACGCTTAAGTGCAGCATGAGGCCCGTGAGCCCTCACAGAGGACAGAGGTGCGGGAAGCAGAGTTGGGAGACATAGGCTGCCCTGAGGGAAACGCTAGGGCTACACACGAACCACTGCCGACCCACTCAGTCCCTGCGTGCAGGCTCCGGGGTGCCTCAGCACGGCACTTCAGACTCATCTCACTGCTTGGTGTTTTCTGTTACTCCCCGTATCCCAACACCCTCTTACACTGGGTACTGCACAGAAACAGGGATTTTAAATGCTTTGATAATTTGTTACTTTGCAAGGGTGGCATGATGATAATTTTCATTGCACTGATAAGAAAGATGTTATCACTGAATGGCTCATAAAAGAGCTATTTTGTATAGGAAAGATAACTTTGCAGCTATACTATTTATTCATTATTTTGGGGGGAAAAAACCCAATGTACAACCTGATCTTGCCACTGAAACTATTTGATTAACCTCCTGACCTCCAAGTCAAGGCCTACCAAAAGCTGCAGTTATCTACAGAAGCACCGGGGACTCTTCATGCAGACGGTTAGCCTCAGCGCTGTAGTTTGCTACCCTCTAGATAACACACAAATCATGGCAAGACACCTCTTACATAAGCTCTGTGTGAAAAACTCGCACCTAATCAAGAGTCTGTTTAACCAGAACAAGAGCAAATAAGATTTCTTATCTCTTGAATTGCAAAGGTAGGTTGATGACATATCCTAAGAACAAAAAATGAATGCATTGCAGCATGATGTTCTGTTTAACACTTACAATTGATTCCCATAATCAAAGAGACACGAGACATTCCCCCACTGCACGTGTACTATCCTTACTTTTTGTGCTATCGTCAGTCTAACAAACTAATGGATAACACAAATACAGAGAACGTTTTCTGATTTTATCTCAAGTAAACTCTTACGGTGAGAGACAATTGTTTTCCAGACTGGCCACTGCCAACCTTGTGGAGGATTTCACCAGAACTACTTGCTTCCAGTTCTAATCCTTTGTTAGTATTGCAACAGTGAATCCAGTAGACTATGAGGGGTTTATAAAATCCTAATCTAAGAAAGTTAAAAAACTGAACTTAAGAAAAATGATCATGTAGTAAAATGGGTGATGATTGAAAGAGGCTTAGCAGTTTTCCCTTCTTTCCTTTGGAAATTCTTTACTTGCTATTCCCTAGTATTACGTATTTTGTTTCACCAAAAGCATAACAGTAGCAGAGTCTGAAGTTAAACTCACATAGGATCATTTAGGTTGGAAAAGACCTTTAAGATCATCGAGTCCAACCGTACCTTACCACCACTACACCAGGTCCAGAAAACATTAAATCTAAACCGAGGAATTCTGTTGTTCAAGGCAGTTTGCTCAATGGTGAAATTATGATTTTTTGGAAGATAATTTTAACTGTGTGCTCAGGTTTTCCTGAGACCAGCGATTACCACCCCTCTGTGAAAATGATGCAGCTTAGGACGCACTAACAGAAGGTTACAGTAGTAGAGGTTTGTATAGAAAGAGCAGCATGTCACATACAATCAAAGAACTGAGTTGTTCCCCATTGGAATCAGGAGTGACCTGAAGTCTTCTGCTCAGTTCCTCAGATAGCTCCTGAGGACTGGTACGGGATACTGGAGATGCAGGAGGAGGTGGCAATGACAAGCTCAAGGAATCTCCACTTGCACTTGCCTCCTCTGAAATGGTTTCCCAAGGCTAACAAAAGAGAAGAAACTACGTTAAGGATTTATAGACAGATTGAGTCTTCTTTCCCTTTGCCTTCTCTGTGACCCCCTAATTGAAGCAAACAGAGGTGTGATACTCAGCCTTAATATTTAACAAAATAAACCAATTCCTGGAACACATAAACACTGGGTGTGAAGTAGGCACAGGGAAAAACGGTCTTCATGTTGACAACGACACAATGCATTACGACTCAACACAGAAAACGGTGTAGATGAAAAGATGCATAAAAAAAGAGCTCTCATTTAATAAATTCTATTTGAAATTTTGTTCAAAATGTAACTAATTCTGCACTCTTACTAAAAAATTGTAAGAAACAACTGTTAATTTTTATTTAGAATAAAATGCATAATAGAAAGGACTCATTAGTATCTGCAAATCAAATATTAACAGGTGGCAAGTGCAACAATAGTTTCAGCCATTTGTTGCTCTGAATCACATTTAGTGAACCAAAACTAGCTGGTTTTTGGTCTGTGATTCATGTAATAAAATATTCCTTAAAGTTGAATGGGATTTGAGCTTTGCACAACCTCTCATTTAGGCCTACAAATATCTACCAGATTTATTTAGTCTAGCCATAAATCAAACACTCACCCTGATTACTAAGATCTCAGAATTTTAACTAAACCCAAGTATTTGGGGAAAAACCCCAGCAGCTTCTCCTTCCTCTAAATCAAGACACTGAAGAAAATTGGAGTACGTGGCAGTTCCAGCCAGTGTGTTTGCCTTCTCTTTAAGACTTATTCCACTGTTATTCAAAGCAGAATATTGAAAGTGTTTCTATCAATGTATATATAACAAGCAATGCTTGGAATTATAAATGTTTCTCCCAGCATTTGCATAGTATTTGATATTGAGAATACATTATCAGGCACCCACAAATGCATGGGTCTTTGAGAGCGTAGCTCTCTTTAGGGTTTTTATTGTGTCGCTGGTATTTCATTTAGGCAATTTCCATAAACACCATATAAAAACATTACTATGTGTATTGTTTAGTAATTGGCTTACAAACGAGAAAGACATCAGCTTCAAGTTTAGTCAACTTCTTAAAAGCAAGACCTTTACATACCTCAGGAATGTCTCCACTCTCCATAGGTTCTGGTTCCAAATCCTCACTAATGTGTCTCCGAGAGCGGAACCGCCTATGGGCTGCTTCTTGGTTTATTTGTCTGATATTGTTATCTGAATCAGATCCCACATCACTGGACAGTGGGGAAATGAAAGCATACAAAGGAGAAAAGAACAAGAAAATAATGAATGTTAAACTAAACCACTGACTTTTTCCATTGCTTTCAAAACCTCACTAATGCTTTTGATTATAAAAGTCATTATTCTTGCATTTGTCAGGCTTCATAAATAGGATTTAATCCCTCAATCCAAAGTAAATAAAACTGGAAGCACTTCACAAATGTCACATAACAATGGAAATTAATGTTCCTTATACATCACAGTTGGGTGGGCAGACATGGGAGTCCATGCTCAAATATACTAACCCACCATTACTCATTCCTTCCCAGGATGACCAGAATCATCCCTGACACAGAGGTTTTACCTGTGCCCCTCTCTTCATGTCAACTATCACTTTCCTTTTTTAGCAGCCGAAGCAAATGCAAGCTGTTGCGGTATGGATAACTTTTTGAACTGGTTGCAAGCACCAGCTTGGCTCACATCAGCAGTGGTGGAAATGGAAAATACCCCAGTTCCCTTAATGGAGACCTGCCTAGCTTGTGGGACTTCTCAGTGTGCCCGGGGTAGATACAAATCTCTATTTCCGCACCAGTACTCAATAGGCAGATGTTGTTAGAGGGCAGTATTGTACTTGAACCCCTCCTGCAAGATGAAGGACTGTAACTTTGAAAGATCATTACGTTCAGGAAAAACTGCAATCATTTTATCATTGCTCATTTTAAAGAACTATGAGAAATGAACTACTCTCGTGTTCCTAGTGCAGACATGGACTGTGCAGCACTCATTGTTTTTCCTTGGCGACCAACTTAGTACCTGAGTTACTAGCCGAAAAGTGAGAGGTTATGTATCCTACTTTCAACCTCACCAGACGTTCTGCTCCTACTGGTTTCATAAATTCACAGAATTTAAAGGCATCAGTCTAAAGCTTTCACTCTTCACCAAGCCTGGTGTCATGCATAAAGTTTATCAGTAGTAATTATGCATTTGTTTCCAAACTACTTGTGATGATATCTAGCTAAAAACGAATCCCTGAGCTCTTCATTTTATACATCCATCTGATGATGACAGTTTCTAGTGATGATTACTTTTTTGGTGTCTGACAGCCAAATATTTCTGAATCCATGCACTCTTTACTTTATTTGGCATAATCTGATTACAAGGAGGTGCCAAATCAAATAATTTATAAAACCTGCTTTTTTTTTATAGACACTTATTGACCATTACCAATCATAATGACAGTAGCTGATGAGATTTACTTGACAAAATACACATTGCTTAGTAAGTAGCTCAAATAGTTCAACAGTAAATAGTTCAAAACAAACAGAACAAGATGTAATTCAATTCTAGCTAAGATAAATGCGTCACACAAGACGAACAAATGGTGCCATAAGGACCACACACTTTGCATAATTTATCTAGGATTATGAATATTCAAGAAAGAATAACCACAACTGTTGCAATAAGCAATAGTGGAAGATTAGTCACTACATAAAAATAATGCAAGATGTTTGCCTAATCCACAATTTTGGTACAACTCTGAACACCGTCAGTTATACATACTGTTTAAAATGTAAGCTTGCCACAGCTTTGCAGAGCTAATCGTAAGAAACATATAGTGAAGGCTAGAACAGGAACTCCACGTAAGTGCATGTAGGCAATGCACTCCATACACTGAATAATAATCAGGATCTCCTCAAAGTTAATGAGTTTAACTTAATTAAAACTTAATAGAGTTGATGGGTTTTTTTCCTTACCTTTTCAACAGTCTCTATAGAAGAAAGTAATTTATTCCTGTTAAATTACTTACCGAAAAATTCCACATCTGTCTCCCAATATTCTAAGGCACACTGTTAATGCACTGATTTCCCTCCCACCCCTTCAGATTTCCTAGAATTTCCCATAATATCTATGTGTATATGGGATTTGCTGGGGGTGGGGAAGCCTATTCTCATTTTTAAAAAAAAAAACCAAATTATTTTGGTTCTCAATTTACTAGCACATCTGTGAAAATTTTTCCATGAATAAAGTATAGTTGCAGATGTGTAGCACAGTTAGCACCAAAGTCATAATTCACATCACTGAAAAAGAACAGCATGCCCTTATAAATCGTTTTGGATAAGTCTTGCTCAAGACTTTTTCCAGCCTTGAATTTGTAAATTCAAAATGGTTGTGTCTGTTGGAAAAAATCACGACTTACTGATAATTTTACACACATCCACAGAACATTGCGCTACACAGCCACTTACATTAAACTTGGTCGATGCCACTGAGTAGTCCTGTTGTTATGGTTGACATAGTAAGTCCGCCCCAGGTTGTCCACCTTTTCTTCCCATCCAGGAGGCAGTGGAGGAGGTGGTAACTCCTCCTGACGTTGAGATGCAGAGTCACTGGAGTCAACCACATCCCATCCATGCTTAGGAGGGGTGGAGAGGGGAGAAAAAAAAAATTAAGATTTTAAAGTCCAAGTTAAGGAGAAGTTATTTCAGTGTTGCTTACAGTAGTGGATAGGTGCAGACGCTGAATTTTCCCAAAGAGAAGTTCAAAATTGCTTAAATGTAAACCATACAGAAATAGAATAAGCTCCAAGCTTCCAGAGTGCACCTCACTTCAGTGACAAAAACCCTAAAAACCCACCAGTCTACTACAACAGGGATTCCCAAATGTATTTGGGTGGCTGCTTGTTCTAGTGGTGGCCAGGTGCAGATTCCCAGTCAAGAAGCCAAAGAGAACTGACTGCTAACTTTTGAACTCAGAGATGGCTTGGGATGAGAGCCCTCGTTCCCAAGTTACAGACGGCTGCTGCACGCTCTTGGTAAGGCAGGCAAACTTGGGCTGACGCCGACTCTGTCAGCCCTAGTTGCAGCTAATTCTTAAAATGGATGATGGCTGATAAGAGTCCTGAAGTCTTTCAACCTGCTGTGCTTGCACGAGCTTTATTCTCTGCAAAGTAAACGCTGCTGAGAAAATAAAGAAAACAAAAAAAACACCTCTGAAGAAGAGGTACCTAACACAGACCATTACGTTCATAAATTACTTGCATACACTTTCTGAATTCTTCTACTTGGCATGACTTCCACATTTACCTGCTCACAAACTGAGTCAGACAGACTTTAAAATTAATTACGGCATCTGAAATACTTCAAAATACTTAAAATAGTCGCAAAACCACAACGTTACAGGAAAAAAAAAAAAGAAAGGAAAGAAAAAGCTGGGGCAGAGGGAGGAGAGTAAGCTGTACCAACACTGCTACCAGGGTTTGACCTTTCAAAGATGCAACTTTTTCTGCAATTATACTTGGATCTATGATAACTTGAATGCTTCCATAAGCATTAAGCCTTACCTCAGACTCATCCCTTTGATCACTGTTTTCTTCCTCTTGGCCACCGTTTTTAGGCATATAAGCCATCTTCAGTCTCAAGAAACCCTTTACACGAGATTTGTGGCTAGAAGGCAAGGAGGTACACTTCATTCAACAGCCCTTTAAATAGTTGCAAATAACAAACCTTGAAATAAGAAATGGTTTAGAATACAAAGGTCCTCTCCCTCACCTTCGTGGTCTGAGAAGGAAATCCTTAAATGTGTATGGCCTTTCCATGGTTGGGTCTTCAGTCTATAAGCATTTAAGAAAATGGCAAATTAAAGGGCTTGCCCACAAGTATGGAGACATACAGAGAACACTCACATCACAGACATGGCAAAAATGCTAGAGACGATGTTTCAGTGATGCAGGAGCAGCAGGCAGCCCTCTCCCAGTGTGTTACCAGTAGGTGCTAATGCCGAGCGCAGCAGCACTCCACTGCATGTCACTGCAAATACCGGTGATGGGCTCAACCCAGTCTTGTTTCTTGGTGTACACCACCCTCATGGGGCAGAAAAAGGTGGAAAAGACCAACTAAACAAAGCCCTTCCAACTTTTCCCAGTCACCCAACAGCAGCGTTGGAGAAGGCTGCATCCATTTCGAAGCAGGATTTCTTCTGCACATTAGAAAATGATGAAATAGAACTTAGAACTTAGTTGGCTTTCATTTTTTATTTCAAAGCAGTTGAGACTAAAAATAATTATGACTTTGAAATCCTTTATCAAGTCCATAAATAATATTATCAGGCTGACAAATCACATCTTCTGACTTCCAAACTCTAAGTTTCATAAAGCCTTAAATCTTGAAAACTTTCTGTTACACGAGAATTTCAGGTTTCTTACCAAGTAAGTTACAGCCTTCATGTCTGCGAGAACATGGACACTATAGGTACAAAACCAGGGATTTACAAATGACAAGAGAATCAGAAATCCGTATACATACTTAACCTGCTGGTTGTTTGGGGTACTTTAATTGATTGTATAATTTGGGCTGACAAAATTGGAAGCATGAGCTGTGTTACACTGAAAGGGCAAGCTCAGTATCACACATACTCCAGTAAGACCAGAGATCTAGTACCACACTGCCTCAAAACGAGCACAGTTAGTGGGTACTTCTCAGAATGCTGCACCCGTCTGCCATCCACTAAAACCATGGTACTCTCCCTGTAAATCCCTTCCCTACAAACAGGAATATTTCTCAAGTCCAATTCTTAAGCTAAACTTTTCTAAACACAGAATAATCTAAATCCCAGACTATTATTCATGAGAAGTTTTGTTATCTGTTTCATTTCAAAGTCAATAAATAAGAATTTGAACATCAATCCTAAGTCACTGTCTCAGGTATTATATCCAGTTCCATCCAGACATTCACGGAATGCACTCTTATCCTGCAGGCGTTTCCTGTGTCCACTTAATCCGAGCAAGACAGCCTTCCCATTTTTTCAGAGGGAGAGTAGATTTTAACCAAATCAACAGGACATCAAAGCATGCATGACTGAGAAGTACTGCTTTTTAGTACTCAACTGTAAGTAATGTACCTAAAATAAGCAGCTGTATATTTTAACCGACTGTTGTAGATAGTAATTAGGTAGTATTAGAGAAAACAAGGATTTTGACAAACAAATCAGCAGTACAGCTAGGATGAGAAAGCAAATATTTGTTAATAAATACAGCACGATGTCTCTTATTAAGGTACTGGAAGGACGAATGAGGAAATATCGATTAGAACAGAAAGACAGACAGATGCTTCCCTGAGAACCAAATTAGTACACGCACCTTAGCAAGCATATAGCTAGCTAATTATAACAGCGTATGAGAACACACCCCTGGGGCAGGCAGGTAAGCATCCTGTGGAGACACTGCTATGTTACATCTACAGACAGAAGGAATGTTCCGAGATAGGTATGGGGAGTTTTCCCAGAGGAAATTTTTTTGGAAAATAGTGGTTTCTGGAGCTGAAGAAATTTTCTGCGAAGATGAAGAGTGAGGAAGGATTTTGTACCGGAATCACGTTTACTTTCGAATGAACCTAGAAGAAATGGGACGTTCTGGGCTGCAAAATTTCATCATTTTGGCATAAGGAATTTTATTCTTCAATGGCAGTTAAGTAGCTGAACCAAGAAATTTTATAGTCTTGGATATTCTATGTAAAGAGAGTAAAGACGTTAAAACAATTTGAAAAAGTTTAGCATTCCGCTCAAGTATGAGCTACAAGGAGATGTGCATGCTCGTGTTCTACCTAAGCCCCGGTGAGAGGAGAGCAGAGTTGCTCTCTTCCTGGAGAGTATGGAAGGAAAACCAAAAGCTGTAAGTCCTCAAAACAGCTCCCCGAAAGTGTGTGACATGCCTATAGCCCTATCGCAGATCTTGCTGATGATTTTGAATGATTAAAAATAACTTTCACTACAGAGGAACTTCAAAATACTGCCTGAGTTTGAAAAACAGGCATGCACTAATACATCCCTGATCGTTTTATACTTCACCGCACATTTTTTGCAGGACACATACAGCTTAACACTGGAGGACTTTGCCTATAGTTACGTACAGGCCATTTACATAATGCCTGTGCACGTGGATACGTGGAATGGAAGTATACGCACAAGAAAGGACAAAATAATGCTCCACAATACAGCTCATACGAGCTCATGTGAGAATGCAATGACACATTTTTCATCAGAATACATTTCTGATCGTTCCATCGTATTTTTCAACTATTATAGTCTAGAAGCCAACAGCAGCAGCATTATGATTCAAGATCCACCGTAACAGATGGCTCTAAATAAGCATCGCTGTGAGAGTCATTACAAACCCATCTTCCTCCTACAGTAACATCCAGCGACATCAACAAGTCAAATTCAGGCACAAACAGCTACAGTCATGCCAGAACCGACACCTTATTTTGATGTAAACATTTTCAGTAACTTCCATCATACCCACGTTCTCCCGTTCAGATACAAAAAACCCCTCCGAGTTCATGGGAGTAAGATTAACATGTACAACATTCTAAAAATATCAACTACATCCCGACAACGTTTGTCACCCAAAACATATCATATCAGAAAACACCTGCACCAAGCATAAACTGTGTAAATGTATACACATGTATGCATATATGCAGAATTTACAGAAAACTCTCTGCAGTAGAAAGTATGTTTTCTCCTGTTTACAAAGCTGATGAAAAACAACGGCAGTGCTTCATATTTTTTGTGCCCTGCGACCTTCTAACTTCGGCTCTTCTGTCAGTGACTCAACTCAGCTTTGAGGCACAGGGTGAAGAACCATAAGAATACTCAAAACCCAAAGAAACGCTTTTTTGGCACAAACGTTTTCTGCAAAGTGCATTTGGATTTTTGTCTACTAAGTGAAAAAAAAGAAAGACCATCCAGCAATACTGAAAAACTGAAACTGAAGCAAATCTACCCATGAAATAAGGAATTTATTTCTACTTATCTTTGAAAATGGTTTTGACTGAGGCTTTTGCAGCATGGGGTGGATGTAGTGCTACAGACATACACCTTACACATCGTGTAAAGTAAGCTTTCTAAGCAACAGATTTTATCTGCCATGAGCACAAACTGAGGCGCAGGCTGGCGTTATCATATCTCAGTAACTAACACTTTATCTATCTGTATAAAACAAGCTGAGGTACCTGTACTATGATATGTTTGGTGTTTCAGAACACACCTGTAAATAGATGACACCGAAAGTAGGCATTAACCCAAGTATTTAAACTCTGGCTGTTCAAAAAATAGAAGAAACCCCTCCAAATGTCAGCTTTTCCAAGTTATTCAATTCATATTCCTTTGCATATAATATATTTAAGCTGTTTAAAATTGGGAATACATCCCTATCATGCAGGAAGGGCAATAGGCACCTACATGTCTCTTACAGAAAAAAATCTACCTATGCACATATAGACACTAGAAATTATACATATGTATATTAAAAGCTATAATGTATGTGCTGACAATATCATAGCTGGTTTAATTATTATTATCAATAATGCCTGATGAATGCTGTTGTATGTGCTATGGCACTCATGAATATCTCACTATTTCCATTATTACTTAGGAGTCCTTCAGATACGTTTACTTTCAATCAGTAGTAAATATAATGATTTTACTCAAATTTTCTAGGAAGATCAGTAAATGCCTATCATTTTCAGAAGATGTGAGTTTTTGTAACTTCTTAAGATCCTGCCATGCTGGTCCAGCAGTTTCTCAGGTTTCAATCTGTGGCTATTGGCTTTATGAGGTTTGAAGTAATATCAAAATGTACCTCTCACCTTCCCAGGCAGAACTACTACCCCATAACTGCAACAGCATATTGTGTAAGACAGAAAATCAGGCAGATAAATGGGACCCCAAAAATGTGGGGTTTTTTCAGTGTTTTAACAAATGTTCTGGAGGAAATGGAGTTTGCTAAGGGAGAATACAACTGTTTCAACTCTAAGGGAAAACCATGGAAAGGAAGAAGCCAGAAGATTAATGGGACAATAATCACCAATTATATGGTAGGCAACGACCCGTCTACTGGGCACATGCCATTCATCAATTGACTCAGACCAGACAAGGATTTGAAGAAAGAATCGGGATGAGAAATGAATGCTGGATGTTGAGAAATTTAACAGATGCCAGAGAACAACTGTCTTCCTTGTCCCTGCAAAGGGAACAGTTTCTCCCAATTCCTGCGCATGGTGGGGCTCTGTTGCCTGTAACATTTTTCTTTAAGCCTCTACGGCTATGCTGGGAATGCTGCCTTTAAGAAAATTTAACTGGACTACTTATGGAAATACATTCTACAGAACATCAGGGTTTCTCCCATCCGGTGATGAGGACGAAGTGCCCACTGCGACAAAAGCGCTGCTTACCGGAAGGTGACTGAGTGGCACATCCACCTGGCCCAGGAAGTCGTCTCTAGTCTGTCAAACAGAAAAAAAAGGCAGATAAAAGGAGTAATTTTACCTGTAAGGTCATCTTTACATCAGAAAAGCAAAACGTTACGAACAACAATCCAGTCACAATGAAGCAAAACTAAAGATGGTTGAGTACCATTATTTTAGCAGTTACTGGTTTCTACCCCTTTACTGCTGCACGTTATCCGTTGTTGTAATTTAGCTCTTTCAGCAGAGCATTTCCCGTGCCAGTGCACAGCATGTATGTTAAGTACTGACAAAGTTCTCTTTCCTCTGACATTCTATGCATAATTCAAAGCACAAAGTCATGATCTACTCTTTCCATGAGTTAGCCTCCACATGCATTAAAAAGCAGCATGAAATTACCGCTCACCCTGTCGTTGAACTGTTCATGTCAAAACTCAGTCACTTTTCCTTTTTTAAGGAAAACCTCATACGCACATCTGACAGGGAAGGGAGCAGAACCAGCATCCAAACAGGGAAGACAGAACTGCACATGCATTGTAAATACTTTTTTCCCAAAATAAAAATTGGTTTTATCACTTTACCAAACAGAAACCAAAGTATTACAACTTTTTGGTTTTTTTAAAGAATGCTGTTCCTTTAATTCAGAATGCTTACTTTGTGGGGAACAGTTACACACCCTTATAACCAGCCTTTTCAGTAACCCTGTATTTCCCACTTGAAGACCTGACCATACATACACCGCTTCAGGTTAAGCATGTGGATGTGGTTGTACCGACGCTTGGGCCACACAGCGCCATCACAAGTTCACTTGTGCGCAGGTTGGTCCGTACAGAAGTGATAAACAGCACTTTTCTGCATGCTCTTCACTGTCTGTTCGATCACCATCTCCTCTCAGCGTGAACAATCCAAAGGCACCGTCTCCCACGAAGGTAACCACCGACAAGCTGACTGTGGGACCTGGTCTCCATTAACTATACCTTTACCACTGGGTATTTGGGGCATTATCCACAACTCCCCCAACTGCATTCCATATCCATTTTACAACTATGAAGATGAAAGGATAAAGAGGTTCAAAGCTCCATCTGATCTTTGCAGTACTCAGCGACTCGTGAAGATGCTCAGCCTGGACTGCATGCAGTGGCCCAATCATCCGCTCACACCTACCACTTTAAAACGCACAAACATTCACACGAGGTATCTCAGTGCACCTCTAGCAATCCACTTACGTGGACTGACAGAAGAAAAGGAACATGAAATATTAGCAGAGCTAGACAAAGTAAGGATAAACTTTGAGAGGGAAAACGTGTACTGTTACCACTCACTTTACAGCTCAATAAAGCCTAGAAAGAGCGAGCTCTCATCAATTTTCTCACCAAACAATAATGTCTGTTCAATCTATATACTCATTTACACTAGGAATAACATTTCTAGCTGAAAGTATTTCTGTAGTGAGTGGATTGTGATTGCTTTAAAAAAATTATAACTTTAAAGTACTGCTCAGGTATTATCTGTATCGTTTAGAGACACCTCAAAACTACTTTGGCCTTTAACAATTTTCAGGATCAACAGTGTCACCTGAAGAGCAGAGTTGCACTGGTACCTTTTATTGTCAATTAATCTGAATCTCAGGGGTGATTTTTCTTTAAAGTGTGACTGTTATCATCCATCCAACTTCAACACATCCCTGTGCAAACCAAAAAAGCAGGCCATCTCCCTGCTTGAATTGCACACACATGGATTAGTTGATCTTCCCGGCTGCTGAGTACTGGAGGGCAACCCAGAAATAAAATCAGTAAAAAGCGTAGTCAGGCACTGCATGGAGACATTGCTTTCTGCCTCCTAGCACCACGTTACGCCCAGGATGCCATGCATCCAAGCAGCTTACTGGTATTATAAAGTACCCCAGAACGCGACAGAGTACCCACACACCGAAAATTAATCAAGTCACACGCTCCCACCAAGATACAGTTCAGAATGAGAAGGAGCCCACAAGCAGCAGCGTACGGGCCTGGGACGCTCTCAGCTGGCCTGCCAGCTCTCAAGCGCCGCAAAGAGAAGGAGTAGTGGCCAGACCAATGATGCTCAGAAGCAGCTGTGTGGGCACCAGAAAAATATTCCAATTTCTCCTTCATAACCAGTTCACCTTTCTGATAGGTTTTCGTCACCATGTTTGCACTTAACCTAACTGGAGGCACTCGGCGCTGCTGTGGACAGTAGCTAGGGTGCGTATCTTCAGAGCTGCAGGAGGTTGCCCACGTGGCAGCGGCGTGGACGTGCTGAAAGTCAGCTCTGCAGCTGATCTAATCTACTCATCGATTATCATCGGCATTTGCTCATTTGTAACAGCAATTCACTGTTCTAGCGACTCGGATTAAGATTCCTTCCTTCCTTCCTTCGATGAAAGCCATTAAAAACGTGGCAAACCCCCCAACAACCCAGAAACCCCACAAAAGCACGGAGGAGCTGTTTCTCGTCGAAGGGAGAGGCTGTGGGAGGCCCGTCCCAAGCCTCCCTTTGTGCAAGCAGATCCCAGAGGAACTGAGCAGCTTCTGGGCCCCCGTGGAAGTGGGGGCTGCACTGGGGGCACCAGGGGCTCTCGCCCCTCTGACCCCTCACCAGGAGGGGCCATCTCCTGCTCTGCATCCCCCGAGGTTGACCAAACGCTCGCCCTTGGGGCTGTGAAAGCTCTCCCGAGGCGAACACAGGGTCCTCACAGAAGGGACGGAAAGAGGGACAGCAGGATGGCACCGCCGCTGTCTACACTCTTGATTCCCACCAGTGCTTCTCACTTCTTTCACAGTCCACCCACAGCTGAGGAAACCTTTCATTTTACAAGAATTTTGGACTGAAACGGGGCCAACCCTGAAGCAGATCATCTGAAACGCAGATACCTGTTCACAAATCGAAGCCACGCGGGCTGTTCTAAACAGGGGGCGAGGCAGTGGCGAGGCCGTAGGGAGAGCTGTCGCCAGCAGACCCACCCGCGGGCGCCATGTGGGGAAGCGAGGGCC